GGAAGGCGGGGGAGAGCACACCGCTGCAATGCATTCGGGATGCCGCTTTGCACTCTGAGCATCAAAGAGGCACAGACCAAATTCCCCCTTCCCCGAGAAGCGTTTGCATCCCAAACACCCCATACATTTCCCACCACGTCCCATCCCTATTTTCCTTGCCACGGCCAGTTTTGGGGTTTTTTTTGGCTTCCACCGTGCTCACAAGCCCCCCTCAGCTCCCTGCTCCTGGGGGGGGGCTAAATAACCCCTCGGCTGCCTCCCCAGGAGCTCCACAGTCTCGCTGCCCAGCAAAGCAGCAGGATGGAGCTGCGGGAAGCCTGAGGATGAGTTGGGATACTCCAACCGTAACGGAGCTGCTGGTGGGACAGATGATAGACCAGGCTCCTGCTGGGACTCACTGGGAGCTGCGGAGGAGGCTGGAAGGGACCAGCATTGGTCGCCTGCTGTGCCTCCTGCTCTACCCTTAACGTTCAGCAAGCTGCAGGGTGATGCACTTCTTTTTTTTTCCCGATTATGTTTTCCCAGCAGCTCTGCTCCCTGCCCAAGGCGCTCAGCCACGGCTCTTGTGCCATCTGCCGACCGAAGGCCGCCGGCTCCGTGGCCCCGCCACGCCGCAGCACCCACCAACCAGCACCCACTCGGCCTGCCCGCACCCATCCTCTCCGCTTCGGCAGCCCACAGGTGCCTCCTGCCCTCTCCTCTCCCCCGCCGCCGCCTCCTGCCCAGCCCTGACTTGAAAGCATCCCCGGGAATTCGGCTAAATCCCAGAAAGCCCAAAGATGAGAAAATTTTGCTCCTTGGTCATCCCCCCTACGGCCACCCAGGTGGCACCAAGGGCAGGGGAGGACGGGGCAAGGCTGCACCCCGGCTGCTTTCAGACCTGTTTTCGCAGGGAGGGTCTGGCCAAAATGTCCAGCTATAGAATCATAGAATCCTTTAGGTTGGAAAAGACCTTTAAGATCATGGAGTCCAACCATAAACCCAACACTGCCAAGTCCAAATGCTGAGAAGGGGCAGCCCAGCGGCCGCGAAACCTTCGCGGGGAGAGATTGCTCTCGCTCAGCGTCTTCAGCCCCAGGCGCTGCCACCGGCCCCGGCAATCGCCCCAGCGCAGCCCTGCACATCCGTGCTGTAACACACACACATGCAGAAATTTGTCTGCCCACTGCAGCCAGAGGATTGCACTCTTCATCGCGGAAATACATGGGGGAAGGAGCAGGTAGCCCCGATGGTTTGATGAAGGATGCTCCCTACAGCTGTCTCGTTAGAAAAAGTGACAGACAAGGACCCAGAATGTAATTTTGTGAGTTTAAATTTCCTCCATCTGCCAGCACTGGGGGACACTGAATTATTCATGACGTTTCACCAAAATAATCCCATTTAAAAATAACTCCCCTGCTTAAAAGACAGTGAAAGCACTTTTAACACCGAGCACTATTTTTATCTCCCCAGCATGACACAGCAAACCCCCAAACCTCAGCAACTCCTGCCCTGCACCCACCGCTGACCCTCTCCTCTTTAACAGCGTGGGTGAAGGAGCACGGGGGGGGGGGGTTTTTGGGGTTTTTTTTCCTCCCCTTTCAATGCTCAGCTTTGGAGTTTAGAGAAGCAAAGCTGCACATCTCCGGTGTCCAAGCAGAGGGCACTGCTGTCTAATGATTTGGGCCAGGGCTCCGCTACAGGGGTTTGGTTTAAGTCAGTCCCAAACTTCTGGCACAGAAAACCTCTCCTGCTAGCAGATATTGCTGTAGCAGCAGCTGAGAAACCCTCTCTCCATTAAATCCCCTTGATTAATCCCCTTGATTAAACCCCCTGATTGTTTAATATCTTCATCAATGACATAGGCAGCGGGATCGAGTGCACCCCCTGCAAGTTTGCAGATGACCCCAAGCTGAGTGGTGCGGTCGACACCCCCGAGGGACGGGATGCCATCCAGAGGGACCTGGGCAAGCTGGAGAAGTGGGCCCCTGTGAACCTCATGAGGTTCAACAAGGCCAAGTGCA